AGAATAACATACAGTCTAAGCGAAAGAATATCAATGGTAAGGTTGGGTTTGTGTCTTAGGTTAGTGAAATGCAATGGCAGGTTCTGAAATCTTGTTTGTCAGTTGCTCTTTACATGAGTCACCTTTGAAAATCAAGTTTAAGAAAAACACACATAGGTAGGCAAACAGTGGTAGGTAGCTTGCCTATTTTCTTCCTGTCTTGCTCATGGACTCGGAGAGCAGTCGGAAAGAGGGGTGAGAAACAGGATTTCAGCGCGTGTCTCTGGGAATGTGGAAATTCAAAATTTGTGAAGCGTCACCAGTTTGTTGAGATTGTCACCGTCCGTTGCCTCAAGAGGATTTAGACGCTTCTGCTTCAGCGATACATTGTTGACCTATCAATATCTGCTTATTTTGATCATATCTTGAAGGAGGAATTCCCATAAGTATATCCCGATTCTTTATTTGTTTCACTACAATAATGGCAGACACACAATCTTTACGACAGCATGGAGTGAAGGTGCGGTGCTTTACTGGATTAGCACTCCTACACTTTCAATGCCTATATCTACCTATTGTAAGATCATTAGAAGCTCAATCAACAACATGATGAATTTCTGCGCCTGCCATAATTATTTTTAACATGACTAAAAATTACCTATGGCAACTTTTCTGAACTCAGAATATAAGCTCGAGCATGATTTGGAGGGTTGTTGAGATTAGGTATTCATTCAATTTTAAAGATGAACGTAAAATGATTAAACATCTACTGTCATTTTTCCAACTGTTGCTCAGAAAGTCAGTAAAGGCTTTTCTAGTGAAGATGAAGCCTCCGCTTGTATATTATTGTGGAAAAATTGAACATACACAGGATAAAAGAGTAATACCTAATAATTTATTGAATCAATTCATAGTGAAAAAATGGAGTATAGCTTGTGAAAATGGCGCCAACATGAAATTCAAGTTCAATCGAAAATATGCGCATAAACAGCGCCAAAATCGGAAAGTTTGATTTCCCGCGAAAGTCGGGTTACAGCGCCCGCATAAACCCGACGGAGGAAACTTGCATTACAAACTCGGGTCTCGTGAAACCCCGGTTTCGAGCCTCGCATAAACGTAGCTAGTGTCATTCTCACTAGTGCTCCTGTACATTTATCGACCTATATATACATTTGTTTGTTCGCACGAGATCCACCAACTCTCTGCGCCGCATGCTCCGCTTCGTAGTAACCCAAAAATCCTGATGCCGATGCGATGTTTAGACGAAGAGTGGGAATTGTTGAGGTTTTTTCCAGATTGAAAGTCCGGAATAGGTCCAGTTTTTCTCTTGTAACCTACCAATTTTTCGGAAAATCACGATTAAATAAACAGAGGGATTTTTTCTTAAAATAACCACACTCATACGTAAATCCTTATGATTAATTTAGATATAGTGACAAACATTGCAATTATAAACCGCGATGAAGTGTTGCTAAGAATAGCATCATAACTTTGATGGGGATCGCTGGAGAAACACGGTTGAAAATGATGAGACACATGAAGATGACACAAAAATATGAGGACCGTGTTTAGCAGGAAGAAAGACAGCCACATCAGCTGTTGCCAAAAACTGAGCAACTTAATTTATTACAATGGAACGTATGTGTGGATTTTTTTGACATATCGACGGTGAAACTACCAAACCACGTATCTCGTTTGCGGTGTTTAAAAATCTACGCTCACATTTTATTTTTTTGAAGTAGACCAAATCAATATCATTCCTTGAAATTTTCACGGAATTTTCTCCGCACCAAGAGGAAAAATCACAGAAATTTTCAAGACTGGATGTTAAGTAGTTTTTCATTTAAATAATAAAGTATGACAGGAAGTCTGCGACGTCGCAAACCGAGATACGTGGTTTGGTAGTTTCACCGTCGATATGTAAGGAATATGCTTCGTACTATGCAGAAAATCACTGAAATGGGCAATAAAAATCCGAACAAACGTTGCAATGAAAAAATTAATTTGACAAAAGCTGATGCGACTTGGTTCCTTTCTGCTTAACGCGGTCCAAATAGACGTATTTCTGCCATACGGAACTATGTGCATTAAGACATGAGCCCTGAGACCCATAAGAATATACGCATAACAGGGCTCACGTCATATGCACATAGTTCCGTTTGGCAGTAATACGTCCAATTGGTACTCCACGTGGGAGAGCATTTGTTGCGCCCCGTGCAATAAAAATCACCGGCCTTAGTGCCTTTGTGCACTCCTGCCCCTACAAGAAGAACGCAACTCCAATAAAAATCCTATGAGGATACGCGGTTTGCTGAGCAGGGCTAAACGAGGGGTTGTATTTTATCACCTAACGGAACGGGACCCAGGTCTGGACGGATTCATTCATCCCCTCCATTTCAGGGTCGCCGGTCAGGCCGCGCAATTCACGCATGGGCCGAACCCTTCATCCAAAAGCCGACAGTCCAGCCATCTGCCACTGCACAGTGGATCGAGTCATTCAGAGTCGTCGGACAAAATTTAACACCGTTTATGCAAAACTTCGATGTTCTAAAAGTGGTTCCATTGGTTTTCTTGTGAAATTTTCCACTAGACACATTTCTTAAAATTTAAGAAGTGACGGAATGAGCATCAAAATTTGCAGTTTTAGTAAAAAAATTCATGTGTGACCTCTCTAATTGACGGGATCCACAGTGCGCCGCGCCGGGTGATGACAATTATCGATCCAACACAGGAGATCCTCGCGGTTGAATTGGGCGCGGATCTAGCTTCTAGTTTACGCTGTCAGCTCGGGCTCGCGTGTTCATCGAAAACTTCACTCCGACGTGAAACTGTGCCTTTTTACCGAAACTGATTTATCGCGTTGATCAGTCACAAAAATCGATACAATGTTGCGTCATTTTTACAGTTCGATTATCGATGGCTTCTTAATTGCCTAATGTTGATACCGCATCCGTTCTGTGCATGCAGTCTGCTATACATGTGTATGTTTATTTCGTTTTATTATAAAACCATCTGCTGAGATATCATCAAAATGGGTGTCACCGTAGACTGATTCAATGACTACGTCATTCGATATCTCACCGTTAAATCACCTGGGTAAAACGATCGATATGCAAAACAATGGATCGTATTCTATGTTGGTTCGATATATTGTTTGGTTCAAAACAATAGAACATAACCTCGAACAAATTAACAGCCGATGATATGCTTTTGCATGACTTCCGGCATGTCTTTATTTATTTCACCAAACACTTCGATAATTGAATTGAATTTATGTTAACTTACTACCTGCTGGATATGCTTATCTGTATAGGAATTGTAAATTTTATGAATAAAGACGGGGGAAAAAACCTCGAACAAAAATTTTAGGATTTAAGTTGGAAAAGCTGAAAATAAGAAAATTCCTAACAATTTCACTTTACATTACCATATTGAATTCGCACAATAATCAAAAATTTATTACCAAAAACCCGTTCCCTCTAATTGGTTACTTGAATTTTCAGGCTATGTTTACATGCTGAACCAATCGATATCGATGCAATCCCAACTGTTTGATGTATCGAATACGATCCATTGATTTGTTCTCGAAAGAACCATTGAATATATCGAATATCGAATGACGTAGGCTTTAATTGTAAATCAGTCTTTTTTAGTTTCGCCCCTAATTTGTTTATAGGAGCATGTTCTATTTTTCTGAGAATTCCTACAGAATGGCAAATACGTATTTCCTTCAAAACGTTTACATGCTTTAAATTGAATTGCAGAAAAAAATCATCTGGAAAATTGGAGGGAAAATCGTTACGAGTTATATTTTTTTTCTCATAGGAAATTTGGCAACGTTTAAGGACTTATACGATGCTCTTCTTTAGCATTACAGAGAGGCAGTCGTCTCTCAAAAAATGTGATCTGGTTACGCAAAACAGCCTTGGATGGGTAACACAAAATGTTAAGTGGAGCGAGTGACTCAACTCGTAATTAACCATAACTTGTAATTATCTAAAACTTGTTAAACGTTATGTTTCATACGTAAAGCTTTGACAGGAAAATTTTCAAAAGTAATAGAAGTGAACGGGTGCCCTCTTATTGGGAGCTAATTTTCACCGAAAAAGAACCCGCACAATCCTTATGGGAAATGGCTATCTGTAAAATTTGATGAAACTTGGATATGTTGCTCAGCTAGTCATTCTGGTCATAAGTTCTCTTGGGCCGAAAGAGATGCCACAAGGAGTCCGAGCCTCGGACGTGGGTGGCGGGGAAGCGGAGAGGAGCCAGGGTGGACTAGAAGGGAAGGGCTAGAGTCCCTTTATACCCAANGGTATAAAGGGACTCTAGGAAGGGCATGAGTTGAGTAGCGCCGCACAATGGTCCGCCCAGCCAAACCTCAATTTACAAAACGGCGAACACCTCGAAAACCGCTGAGAGGATCTCATTCGGCCCATGAAAACTTTTGATCAGAATGACTAACTGAGCAACATATCCATTAAGTTTCATCAGATTTTACAGAAAACCATTTCCCATAAGGATTGTACGGGGTTCTTTGACCCTATAGTTGCGGTAAACACGTGGCGTGCAGCGTAATTTTCGTTGGATTCCGGCCGTAAAATCACTAAGAGGTGGCACCAAAGTACGCATACCGAATCCTACTTAGTCCTACTCCTAACTTTACGTAATAATATGGCATGAGTGGGAAGGAGGAGGTCAAAACGAAAACTCATGAAGAAAGGAGCTAGGAAAGGAACTTTTTAGCCCAGGAAACGACGCAACGCTGCGTTTGATAAGCAAAGCTGTTTCATTTGGAGGGGCTATCCTTAGATCGTCACCCGATTTCTCAACTGGACCGGTATTGATAGTGCGCTTCTTCTCTTCGGTGAATGCTACATGTGGTTGCTCTGCGGTGATTGTGATTTCTCTACATCGTGAATGCACCAGGTCTAGTGATTACAAAGACAGTGAGTTTGAGGTGCCGTTGAAAACAAGCATTTTCGGTGTGAGCTGTCTTTTTACCGGCCATGTAATTTTCATTACTATAATTCTTTAGTTTAACACAGTTTACGTGCATAATTCTGATGAAACCTGAAATTATTGGTCATTGAAAAAACAATGCCAGCGAAAAAAAGTGAAAAGCTCAGTAGTGTTTTCTACATAATATATGATACAGAAAGGGAGCCAATGATATCTCTGAAAGAAATTTGGGAGTGTATTACATTATTTTTGCATCGCATATATTCACTATGAATATGAAAGACTGGAATTAAAAAAAAAAAAAAAAAAAAAAAAAAAAAAAAAAAAACGAAATTTACCGCTATAAGTACTGGTAAGATTTGTAAACAATAAATAGTACAAATCTTCCAATGCAAAAATCCTGCCTCGCGCGGAATGATTTCTGGCCGATTTCAAAAATTGAAGGTGAAACAGCGATGGAATACCTCTTGCTCCCGTCCCGTCCATGCTGAATCCGTTTCCCCTACATTTTCATCAGCAACTCTCAATCGATGAAATGAAGCCCTACGATAGTGCATGTTACCAGAATATTATGTTGAAGTGCTTGATAAAATTACCAATCAACAATTTATTTTTTACTCCACGGAGGAATAAGAATCGTTGCTCGTATGATCTTCATAGATGATTCAAGATCCAACTACTTTTCTTGTCGTGGTTACGGTATTACTTTTGTTGCAATAATTAGATTCAATCCCATTAACAACGGGTCATTATTATCGGGGCCGAGGCATTGCTATCGGGCTCAAACTGTCACTACGAATAGAGGCGGGTCCGGAAATTTAGCAACACCGGGATTCCTCAATTTAAACCTATGCTAAAAAATCGATCCTTGTCGGAGCACCTGGGCCTCCAAGAATCGACATATTCCCATGTGTTTAAATGGAGTGAAGACAATGTTGCCGATTTGTTGGATCCGCCAATGACTATACAAAATCAACTCGCAACTACAACTAGAAAAGTTGCTTCTTTCTTATTCATTTACTAAGATTATTCAAAATATTTTCTTATTTTAGGGAAGGGGGGTGCTGAGGGTTACTCCTTGAACAGGATAAATGATATTGAGCGGTTACATACGTTTACAACTATTCCCGGNGGGGGGGGGGGGGGGGGCAAAGCCAGCCCTCGGGCTACGCACAAGCTTTAATTTAAAAGCAATGTAAAATTTACTAAGAGATTAAACTTGTCGGGCCAAGAACTTTATTTAAAATAGATTGATCCTTCTTATTTTAGCTGGGCGCAGGAATGGAGATGTTGCATCTGTGAGGGATGTGCGATTTGACCATTGATTCTTACGTAAAAGTTCGCGAGAAACACGATGGTGCCACTGGTTTTCTCTGAAATCGTCTCCCAAGCTCAAATAAAGCTCTCAAAGTGAGGCCAAAATGGAGGGGATATCCCACCCTACCCTGAGAGTCCACCTCTACATCAAAACAAACTCTCCATGCGAAGATAGGGAGCAGATACATTAGCAGGGTTGCCACTTTATTTGGGGACTCCAAAACTGAAAACACGGCATCACTGCTAATGTATTTGCTCCCTATCTTTGCATGGAGAGTTTGTTTTGATGTAGAGGTGGACTCTCAGGGTAGGGTGGGATATCCCCTCCATTTCAGCTTCACTTTGAGAGCTTTTTTTGAGCTTGGGAGATGATTTCAGAGAAAACCAATGGCATCATCGTGTTTCTCGCGAACTTTTACGTAAGAATCAATGGTCAAATCGCAAATCCCTCAGACATGCAACATCTCCATTATTACGAAAAAAACGGTGAAATTACTTGAACTTCACTCAGATTTCGACGGAATGATGTGCCTGAACTGTACTTGTATAAACGTATTGTGATACGAGCCATGCGACCTTGTCGTGGATGTAAATTCATCGTGCCTGCGTTACGATGGAGATATTTCCATTTGATTTAAATTGATTCAATAATAATTTTAAATCGGACGTATTTCTATCAAAGAGAACTATGTGGAGGTGGGGAGGATGGGATCTGCTCGTTGGTGCTCGAGCCATAAGAATAAATGGGAATAAAGTGACGAAGCCGTCGTCGCGGCTTCTCGTAGTGGTCATTAACTCATGAGCCCTGTTCACAACGCTCTGGACACATGCCCACGGCTCATAGGTGCCGCATTCAGTTGACTCACAATTCCGTTTGCTGAATTGGAAAAGCGGGATTTTACATTCTGTCAAACGGAACTATGTGCAAAGTGTATGAGCCGTGGGCATGTGTCTAGAGCGTTTCGAACAGGGCTCATGAGTTAATGCCCACTACGAGAAGCCGTGACGACGGCTTCGTCACCGGCGCTTTATAATTCCCATTCATTCTTATGGCCCGAGCTCTAACTAGCAGACCCCATCTTTCTCACCTCCACATAGTTCTCCTTGATAGAAATACGTCCAATTAATGTTAATTAATGTCAAATTTAAAATGTTGCAGATCACCTAGGTGGAAGCCCCAGGCCGTGGAAGCAGTCATGAACGGATTTCGGGGAAACTCGGGGAGCCGGTCCTCCCACTGCGACAACCCCTCCCTCCAGAGGCAGATCAAAGCCCTGGAAACCCTCTACCTGACGAAGAAACAAGAACTCGAGGAGAGCGAGCAGCGACTCCAGACCCTGGAACACAACCTGGAGAAGCTCTGCGGGCGCGTCATCTACGAGGAGCTCAGCCAAAGCGCCGCGGCCAAGATCCGCGTGGAGATATGCCGCTCGGTCTGCGGGTCCGGACGCCGCTCCGCCGACGCCACGAGACGCGGGGGCCGCAGAGCCAACGGCTTGGACAGCGGGCGGAGCCGCGTCTCCGACTCGGAGGACAACGAGTCGCGGGTGTCCAAGTCCTCGACGAGCAACGGAAAGCGCGGCGGCTCTTGGAGCGAGAGCGAGGATCCTCGGCCGGTGTCCGGCATCGGGCGGGGTCGCAGATATTCCAGCGTGGACGAAGACCAAGTGCGAGTGCCCGGCAACGGAAGAACCCGCGGATATTGGAGCGTGGACGAGGACGCGGTGAGCGAGGACGACGAGAGCTTCTCGGACGACGATCGGGCGCTGGCGTACATCTGCGCGGACGTGGCCCTCCGCTCGACGGTGGACGAGCTGGCGCGTGGCCTGCGGGCGGAGCACCGGGTGAAGGTGGCGACGAGCTCGGAGCGGCTCATGGAGTCGTGGACGTTGGAGCTGCTCCGGCGGGAGAAGCGCGGGCGGCTTCGGGCCGGCGACGTGGTCGTCCTCATGGTCGGCCGCCTCGACGCCACCCGGAGCCGCGTCTTCGAGCTCCGCGACCAGATGCAGGTCCTGATGGCCGGGCTCCGCTCCGAGGTGGCCGTCGTCGTCGTCGGCGTCACCGAGAGGTACGACCTCCACCAGAGCGACAAGATGAACACCAACATCAAGAGGCTCAACCACTGGCTCCGGGAGGTCGTCGGGCCGTGGGGCCATCGGGCCGGCTTCGTGGACGTCGCGCATCTCGGCCCGGAGAGCTTCAACGGTCAGTTCCTCAACGCGCTGGCTAGGAAGGATTTGGTGGCCGCCGTCCTGGATCGCGTTCGGAGTGTCCAGCAACGATGCTTGGCCACCTGCGGCAACTACGGGCGGGATTAAATATCCGCGCTTCCTGAGGGGGCTTCGGATGGACGTCATCTCCTCCAACCGAAAAAAGGACCTTTCGAATCTCGTCTATTATGCATCCGTCCACCATGTTCTCTCGTTTTGGATTTATCAGTTTTCATCATCATTATCAAGAGATTGGTGATTCATTCGACAGTGTTATCAAGTCTTTAATTTGTTTTTCTACAAGTTTATCTAACGGTCCTCAATTAACGCTGACAGTAGAGAGGAAAGATAGAACAACCGTCCTAGTTCGTCGTAAACATTTCAAGTTTCAACAAATTTTGAATGTTTCGTACGAGTTCCTATTCTAGTCGATCTTGTATCCCCAAATGCGAGAATATTCGATAAGAAAATATTTCTTCTTGCCGTTCAACTAAAAAAACATTCTCCTTACTTTTATATTAAGCAAAAATCTATCATTTGAAACAGCTGCAAATCTTAAGCCTCCATAACTGGGGGCATTTTATCGATGAGCTCGCTTGCCTCCATTTAACAAACATAAAAAGAATCGTAAAATTGTGTCTCAAGTCAGTTGTAGCTGAATCGTTATTCTAATTCATATCTGTCCAAATAAGCTCTAAGCGGAGGGATTTCGTGGATGCTCGAAGTTCATTGTGCTGAACCCTGTCGGAACTTTACGTGAACATTCTGTTGGAAGTTTCGTCGCTAGATGGCGTGAGCGACATCTTGCGGGAGTGCGGAGGAGCTTTCGTGCGCGCGAAAGTTGAGATGCGGGGGTGAATTTGAATAGTCTTCAGTGCGCTATGAAACGGTCTGTCAGTGCGGTCACGTGTTGTTGCCGCGGGATTTCACACGGTCGGAACAAGTTTGATCGAAAGAGGAGACAAAAAATCAAATAAGTCTCCAAATTACACCCACACATTTTGGAATCTACAGCCAGGAGTCTCTCATCAGACGGTATGGAAAATTTAGTTTATGAGGGTTGGTTGCTGGGTTAATACTTTTATTTACAGGTGTCACAACACTATATAGCCATAAACACGATAGAATCTTAGGAAAGAGAGATCAATGGGCCAAATACATAATAAAGATGTAAACTGGTAGTTAACATGGATGTTATGCCTCGTTGGCAAATTGTCCAGACGCCAAGAGACGGCAAAGATTGCCATTGTAGACTGGTCATCCCCGTTGCCCAGTCCGCGAACTGGCCCATGTTTTTGCCCACTCCATGAAGCCAGCTGGGCAGCCAGTTCGCGGACTGGCCGATCTAGTCTGAAAATTTCGCCAATGGGCCGATCGTTAATTTGATTTGCAATCCAGTCCCTAACCGACGAATGTCCCGCCATGGACCAATTACTGATAAATATTTCTCGAGATTTTTTGCGAAATATAGAAGAATCAAAATAAAAACCAATACAATTTATACAAATGGTGGATTTCTTTCGGAAAGTACACTAAAATTTACAGGTTACGTGAATCAAGTTCACAATTTATTTTTTTCAATTTACTTTTGGAGATTTTGTTTTACTAAAAACGAGTTTCTTACAACCTCGATATCCAAGTATTAAACAAAACAGATTCATAAAAATTTGTTTCATCTATGAAGAGCTGAATAAACTGACAGAAGAAGGATAATTCTCGGCGAAAATATCCATTAAATGTTGTTCGGAAATTACTTCAAAGGTTGGAAATCGGAAAATCCACGAAGGCCTAAAATTGTTGACTAATTATAGAGCAGCACTTTTTTTGTAGTTAAAGGATTGAGATGCGATACCGTGTTGCTCTGCATAACCACTCTGTCATTCGGGTGCTACAACTAACGATAGTTTCCATGCATTCCTAAAGATGTGAGTCAAGCGAAAGTGCCTTCAATTTTGAACATGCAACACGCACATCCGTGGAACACGAATAGTTGCATCAAGGCGTTACAGTCATCACATTAGTCTTTGTAGAGCGGACACACTTCCAATTTTTGAATATGCAAGAGGCACATCCAAGATACAAAAAATATAAACAAAATAATAAAAAAAAAACTCATAAAGGTGTAAGAAGAACTTCTGAGAAAAATTTTAAAAAATTATGTTGTAATATTTGTTTGAATAGCCGCCAAAAAAATTGGCCTCTATAATCATTTAATGGGATCGATCCTGCGGTTACTACGACTGGGCCTTTCCCGTATTAAGTAGGATTGAACTCGAGAGCTCAACCGCAGGATTTTAACACTTGATCGCACTCGATTGTTACTTTTGATCGAGGCTACTTTGCTTACTTTGAATGTATGTGTCTATTTATAAGTCGCTTTTCCTGCGCATTAGGCCGCTCTGCGACGCCTACTTAGATACTTAGGATACTTAAATTTAAGAAACCGAAAAGTTAAATCGAGTTTGAACTCCAAACGCACAGGCGTTCCTCGTTTTAAAATAAAGTACCCCAAAATCAGTTTATGAATTCTGAAATTTTCATTTTTGCATTTAGTCGTCGGAGTTGAAAGCACAGAATTACAAGTGGTCGGAAATTTTGAAACAGGGAAGACATCATTTTTCGTCGGAGGTTTTGGATTCGGTCTTGAGCCCTACTTTGGTCCTCCACAAAGAATGTTCGGAGGCTTTTTGAGTCTTTTTGCCGGCGCACGCTGATTTCGTGTTCGATTGTGTGACTTGTTCTTGGGCGCAAGTAGCTGCCGCTAGACCCAAACCGACGCCCAGTCCCGACAGGGCCCAGACATTCTTTTTGGCGAACCATGGCACGGCTGCACACACTCTTTTCCGAGCTGAAAGAAATCAGAGCTTTAGTCAGACTCCTGCGGAAATATGGAAATTCGCGGCGAGAAGTTCATTTTGAGCCGCATAAATGGATTGCATTTTGCAAAAAGGAACCGAGAGCATTCCACTGTCGCTAAGATTGTGCAAATGGTTTAACCTTGCAATTATAAACTGGATCGCATTTAGCAAAAAGGAACCAGCGCGATTACCGTCTTGTAAAAATGTTACTTTTTCATGAGTATCCACAAAGCCTCTTAGAATGGCAATTATTTTTTGCTTCCCGCCAACAAATTGTTAATTTTAAAGGCAAATAACTGTGCAAGTTTAAATACTGCACATACATTAAGTATTTTTGAAAGAAAAGAAGTTACACGATTTTGTCGCAATGGTTCCTTTTTGCTAAATACGATCCAACTGATCATCTAAGCACGTTTTATCTTCACTTTTAATAAACTACAAATTCAAGACAAAAATTACCTTGGTAAAAAAATTTTCGGAGGAGCAAGCCAATTTCAGAGCAGGGAGATCAACGATCGATCTTTTATTTACCATCACCCAAGTGTTCGAAAAGAAAATTATGATGGGTCGGGGGTTACATTTCGTGTTTGTGGACCTGCAGAAAGGCTTATTTCCTTGCTGCAATGCTGCATGATGCGGTCCAAATATGCTTGTACAAACTTTCCATAAAAGTGGCAATCGTCGTAGAAGTAAAATCAGGGAAGAAAATGCTGAGGTACGATAAGGATTACGGATTCTTTCAAGGAAATTTGGTAATTTGGGTATTTTGGCTCATACCCGAACGCTAATCCAGATCAAATGTTTCTTTGGGACATGTAGATCGAAATCAATGAAAAGGAAAAAATTGAAAATTTTGGCCTGACGTCCTATTTTTGACCCGCTTCATTAAATAACCGGATGTCCCCATCTTAACGATCATTAAAACTAAGAAGTAGTGAAATTTTGAATCACTGACTTACTAGGCATTACTGCAGCAAGTATGAAGCCAACCGCAGTACTGATTACTGGAAAAAAACCAAATAAATCGATAGTTATACACTGAAAATTATTTGACCTAAAAGCTTCATATCGACGGTGAAACTACCAAACCACGTATCTCGGTTTGCGACGTCGCAGACTTCCTGTCATACTTTATTTTTTAAATGAAAAACTACTTAACATCTAGTCTTGAAAATTTCTGTGATTTTTCCTCTTTGTGCGGAGAAAATTCCGTGAAAATTTCAAGGAATGATATTGATTTGGTCTACTTCAAATAAATAAAATGTGAGCGTAGATTTTTAAACACCGCAAACGAGATACGTGGTTTGGTAGTTTCACCGTCGATATCGATGTCTAGGGCGAAAAATGCGTATCTAAATTACAATGTTCAAAAAACTCCAATTCTGCCGAGATACCAAGAAGAGCCGTTACTATCAATTTTTTTTTAAATTGAGTTTTTTTCAAAATTAATTTGATCTAATTTAGTTGAAATTACTGATGTAGCTAAAGCAGAAAAATTCGTCTTCATTGTATAAAGACGAGACACGCAAAAGGGCCGTTGGTGCGTTAAAATCAACGCTGTTTGAGACAAAACAGCTGCAAGGTGCATTATTCCGCTAGAAAGCCAATGAAAACAGTTCTTTCAGGTAAAATGGTGCCCTCTTCTGCCAATTTCTTCTGTTGTGGGTCCAAAACGCAACCACGAAAGCACGTAGAGGATATAGTACTTACGACTGTTTCGCCTAATACTAGCCTAGCATGCAAATAAAAAGGATAATTGGACGTATTTCTACCAAAGAGACCTATGTGGAGGTGAGAAATATGGGGTGTGCTCGTTAGTTCTCTTTGCGTAAGAGTGAATGAGAATAATTGTGCGCCAGTGACGTCAGCGGTAACGAAGCCGCTCGCCTCCGCCGCCCCCGTTCATCCGCCTCCGCATAAACTCATGAGCCCTGTCCACAAGGCTCTCTTGCCATGCCCGCGGCTCATGAGTTCCGCATTCAGTTGCACATAGGTCTGTTTGGTAGAATGTAAAATCCCGCTTTTCCAATTCTTCAAAAGGAATCACGCCCACTGACCACATTGTTTCTTATGCAGCTTCCACGAGCACACCCCATATTTCTCTCCTCCTTATAGGTCTGTTTGATAGAAATACGTCCAATTTTTATACGGTTGAAAATAAGATTTTAGGATTTTATTAGGATTTTTAGTCATTCAAACGATTTCCGAGAGTCTTTTGGATAGTTGATGAGAATTTGACGAAGAACGGAGGCGTTTTTTCAATAAAATTTTCCGCTCAGGCGCTTTTCTGAGCCCATTTTCTCACAACTTCATTTTTGCAGTCACGGCTCTCTTTCCTTTCACTGCAGAATTGTGTTTTTATTTTTTCTGAGGCTTCTAAATCCTTGAAGCCGGATAAATGTGGCACCGTCTCAGAAATGTATATTCTAAGTTCCCGTTTGTATAAATGAACTTGGGAGGAACTTGAGAGAAGCTTCAGTTGAACGAGTTCCACGAACTAATCTCTTAAGCGAACTCGACTCAATATCGGTGGAGCTTAAGGCTGGGAATTTTCTGAAGCGTGCCCGCACCATCGTCTACTTAATGACCGTGGAATTTTCAAAGTTAGAAATTCTATAATTGATACGTAGCTGGCGTTAAAATCACTTCAGCCCATCGTGATTTTCTCGGAATTTTTGAGCAGTAAATGTTGCGTTCGTGGAACTGCTTCAAGTTCCTGGAAGAGGAATCTTCCAACATGGTGCTTTCCTTGAGCTCGCGTTTTTTAACGACACCTGCGGGTTCTATCACTCGGCGGCGAAAACTTAAAAATGAGTCAAACATTTTGAATTAAAGTGGGAAGCTTCCACAAGCAAGATGCGACACATCATTGCATGCGATTGGTTAAATAAGGCGAGCATTTCCGCGTCCGGAAGCTTTTCATGTTTTTTTTTTTTTTTTTTTTTTTTTTTTTTTTTGTCAAAAATTTATGTTGAAATTAGTATTGCCGCAAAATTATTCGAGGCTTTCGTCACTGCTTACTTTCAGCGGGAAATCAACTTAAATCCTGAACTGTCCGATTCTCGTGATTATGTTTTCAACTTGAAGAAAGAAAACAACAAATAAGGGGAAAATGGAGGCAGGTCCATTTCCATCGGAATGCAGGTCTTTACCCTTCTGATTCTGCAACGAGGCCAGTAGCGTATTCTGACTGAAAAGATTGAGAAGGCAGATTTGATACGAAAAGCTTAGGGAACGGAGGTTCCGTGCGTAGCCATTTCGCCTTCAATTAGCAATGTAGGCCAAAGAGCATCCTTTGTGTGCCAATAATTATCTCTTCAGAGATATCACTTGTGTATTCTGAAGCTTACCACGTAATACGATGTGTCGAAAACCAATCTCAAGATGTATTTGCTGGATATTGTTTCAGAAAGTGTCTTGATAGATGGTAAAAATTGATGGAAAAATAATTTTCGCCTCAGATTTTTGGGGAAAGCATTTCTTTTTGAGTAAATCTTCAAAAAAGGCCACTTTATTCTAGGTTTGGCGACGCAACGACGACTTATACCTTCGCAGAATTTTCTGTCATGCTTATGAATATATGAGTAATGAGATTTAATTTCCCGAAGGCCAAATGTAACGTAATCACTCTAAAGGATCTACTATGCTGCCATGCTAAGGGAAAACGCCGTATGAGCCTTCAGACGTCGCCAAATTTCCTTCAATAAAACGAGAATTTTCTGATAAACTTATGGACATTTTTATTTTAATTATTCAGATTATTTTGTTCGGAATTTCACCGGAAGTTCCTGAAAATTTCGAGAAAAAATATCCATAACTATCCTACAAAATGCAAATTTTAAACGGGGAAACTTGGCAACATTCGGAAGTTCATACGGCGATCTTCCTCAGCACGGCAGGATACCTCTCTCGTTGGAAGTTACAGCACGCGTGAGGCGTCGTATAATGTAGTTCGGAAAACTTGGAGGGAATTTCTCGGAGAATATTCTCGCGTACTTATGCATGTATACATGAAGAATTATTTACAACGAAGAGTATTATACTTTTAAATGAAAGTTTTTTCTTCTTGATATGAGAAAACTAACGGCACAATTGCAACTAAATGTTGCTGGGAAAATGTTTCGTTCTTACTTTGTTATGATTCGAGAGAGAGGTAAAGTTCTTGGTACGAAAATTTAATAAGTACGAGGACACTCGAGTCGAGAATGTATCATAGAAAAACAAATTTACTCTTTCTTCTTGTGATTCTCTCGATACCTGACCTCGGAAAACATGTTTATTGAGTTTCAAACGCTGCATACTATCCGACAGGAAAACAAATCAAATTCTCTACTCTGCCTGAGGAATAATCTTTTAAAATTGCAAGCAAAGACGTTGGCTCATTTTCCTTCAAAAAAAATAAATAAATAAAAAATAAGATAGGAGTGGAATTCTTGCGAGCGAAATGCATGATTTCTGATTTCAGCCTTCGATTTCTGTTTTCCAGTGGATGAAAGGGAACTTAAACCCGTATTTCAAAAAAGATAAAAAAAAAAAAAGAAAAGTCATCCGTATTCCGTTCTGTAAGAATATTTACCTTCAGAAATCAAAGCGCAATGTGCCGCATATCATTTAGGTATTGATTTTCGTCTCGGAGTACCTTTTACTAGAGGAGATGTGCATTCCGCGAACTTAGAACATTAAGGAACTTTTGTTCCTTCCCGACAACGCGGCCGTCAGGATTGGATTACCCGCGAAGGAGTGGATACTCTTTATAAATTATGAATGATAAGAATTCTATAAATAATGGATTCTGTAAAACCAACTCTTTGCATTAATTATAAGAAATTCTGTTAAAAACTATCCCGCAGACGGAAAGAGAAGGGGAGAGAGAAGGAGACCAGGTAGCTTTGTGGCCGCAAAGAATCATTTTCAACTAAGCAAGACAGTTAAACGAAAATGTTGACTAGCACATTTTTAAGGAAAAATATGGGAAATGAAGAAGCAGGTTGTTACGGAAACGTTTTTTCTCGTATGTTGACAAATCAAAGCCATAGCAAACAATATTATTTGCCAGAGGAGGATGTGCAAGAGGCTCTCGGGTTTTAACGCCGATTGATCGAGATTAATCGTCTCGCCGAGAATAAAAACATTTTAGACAGGTGACCTGACTGTTATCGGCAAGGTTTAAATCTGGCAACAACTTGGGGTAAGGGGATATTATTTGACTAATAAGTCGTCTTGATCCTTCTTTAACGAAAATTAGACTTGAACGAAACATTAAAACAGTATCTTTCATTATAACTCGGAAAAATCATGGCAGATTTAGAGATGTTTATACGTTTGGTTTACCCGCCGAAAATGGGCATCGAGAAACTTGCAACGTCGAAAATTGAGGTGCATATGTTTTTAATCTCACCATCGGTGATGAGAAAATGTGTAACTGCGCACGCGCTGGTGTGTGATTACATGCAGCGGCAATAATTGTCGTCTTCTGCAATCAAGTTGAAGCTACACATTTGAAGGCGCTTTGAGCAACTATTCCGCCACAGAGGTATTGCACAGTATCACACGAAAATGCAGGCGCACAAACGTATGTACATTGACTGGTGTCGTTTATCACTTGGCATAGTCTTACTGATCTTTCACCTGCGATGTGCAACTCCTGTTCAATCGATTTTTGTGAAGAGAGAAATCGAAAAAAATGAAATTATTTTACAAAAACTTTTCTATTATCATCATACAACAAGAAATAGAACCAAAATTAAAAAGTAACCACGCACTATCTGCAAAGGCCACTTGTAGAGGAGTGAGAAAAGAAAATTATAAGAAAGTAAGTCCGTAATTTGAAGAATTGGACCGCATTTAGTAGAATGGAACCAAGCCACATCAGCTATTGCCAAATTTAATGGTGCAGTTTTATTTTATACATGAAAACGATTGTGCGGATTTCAGTGAATTTTTTGCATAGTACGCGGCAAACTCCTGAATAATTTCAAAAGAATCGCGCACACAATCTCTTGTAAAAAGTTCAATTGCCCAGTTGAATTTAGCAATAGCTGATGTTGCATGGTTCCTTTCTGCTTAACGCGGTCCAATTATTGTAGAGGCTTACCGAGTTTAGTTCCACCCTTGACGAGGCACGCTTCTTGCCATGCGTTGTCGTCACTTTTGGCCATGGTGAATGTAGCTCTGCAATCAAGGAAAACAATATCCGGATTAGTAGGTAACCAAAAAATGTTTGTATTTTTATGCTTGGTTTTAGTTCACTTTTTCCCCCAACGTGTTCTTAAAAATGTTTACGTTAAAATGTCGGTTCGGTTCTGAGGCACGGTGATTTCTCTTTTGAAATATTGTGCGAATTTCCGTTGTGATATAACAAAAAATGCCATAAATTATCGATATGTGCCATTGTACCATTCACCTGTTGAGGTGATAATAACTAAGATGTCCGGGAAAACTTTGAAATGTTGCGATGTGATGAAGTCCCCCCGACTCTTGTCCCTTCAATCATCTTGACCCTGTAATAGTTCAACTAAAGGGCAACTGCTCTTTTTCCAAGCTTGTTACTTCAGCCAATCTGGAAAATATGTCAATGGATATACCTCTCATTACATTACATTTTGCGATTAGAGAGTACTATTTTTACCTCACACGCATAAGTATTTATCTACAATGTGAAACTAAAATCACATACTTGTTCCTGAAATGAGTCAGAATTATTAGTTCCGTATTGCAAAATGTAGTCCAATTAAGGAACTTAAGGAGACAGTTCACCCCTTGTGCCCGCCTCTATGCTCACTAAAATTTAGAATGCTAAAATTGAGATGTTGGAATTATGATTTTCAGGTTACGTTTATCCTTACCTTGTTTTCTTTGTGACCGATTGAATATTTTAACGGATTTTGGAGAGGAAGACGGACTAAGGCATCACTCAGTTCCGCGTACTCACTTGGAATTTTAACTCGAAAAATGTAAACTTACAATTTTGATTTGAGTGACTCGAAAAAATATCTAACCTAAAAGTAAAATCATATGATCAAGACTGTGGATAATTTCAGAGGACTGAATTTGACGTTGCCAGAATGAACGTAAATCCCTGGGTTTATACTGTGATTTCAATGGCAACTTTCTACAAACTAAGAAGAAATATAGTTACGGTGACACGCAGATGTAAGGCCAGAAATTTGGGATGCACTTGGAAACTGCACTTCTTTGAAATCTCTTAATTTCATGGAGATTCCAAGCCGAAGAAGTTGTGAGAAGCATCTCACAAGTTTTAGCCTCAGTAATTTGGAAGAATTATAGCGTTCATTTAAAAAAACTTTTACAACATTTTTCCTTTTCGGTCAAAAAGCCACTTGCACTTAGATTTGTTCCAATCAAAACAAAGGTTTGCGGAAAATTCCATGGGCCATTCATTTGCTTCATGGTTTGGTTTGGTTATGGTTTCGGTTTCATTTTGTTTTTTTCATTTATGGTGGAGTGTTACTTGTTCTCGTCGGCAACTGTCATATTCAATTTAAGAACGTGTCTTTAAAACTCATTCTCACCTTATTCAAATTGAATAGCGAGTACTTATAACGAGAATATTATACCACGTATTCCAATATGTATGAATAAATTTAAAGCTTCCCGCATCGGAGCGATGAAAATTTAAAAAAATTTAATTGATCAAAATGGAGACTGGATTGATGTATTCGCTATCTTTATGAATATAGAATGCACTTGATTTGGGAGGGCATAGTATGCACTGACAGGAACATCTCCTCTTTTATTTTGTATTTCCATCCTCATTGGTTAAAAAGCAACGTTCCGAAAATCAGAATTCCAAAAAAATCGCCTCCGATTAGTTACATCGAAACTTCATACATTTAAAGGTTCTATATCAACATACTTGGATTGACATCTCCATCAATGGAAAACCTGCAATAATCAGACCAACATCATACTCTATAGTGTATAATCATGGGCACAACGCATAACGCATAACGCATAACGCATAACGCCTGAGGCTCGAGACGCTTCGGGAGGTTGGACTGCAAAGCAGTTGGGGGCACCCCCGCCCCTATTTTTAAAAAAAGTACAATGCGGAGAAGAACACCGTTTAAAGCTGGCTAGTATCTTAATAACGTCACCATTATCCAACACCTCCAATAAGCGCATCTAGCTCTAAAATCTTTCTACGCACCCTACTGAGCAGAAACCGCGTATGTACCACCATGAGTATCATATTAGCAAGGATATGCTTTTTTCAGGGTTGCCACAGAATTTAAAAAATGAAATTCCCTGACATTTACCTGATTTCCCTGACCTATTTTGGTGGAATTCCCTGACAATTGAAGATGTGACGGATGGTTAAGAAGGCATAATTGAAAAGAGTTTTCAGGCATTTGCTGTTGGAAATCTCAAACCCATTTTAAATTTCAAATGAAGGTGATTTAACAAATTGCCCTTGACATTTTCGTCATTTTCGTCATTCCCCCTGACATTACCCGGTTTTCCCTGAATTTTTAAAATTCCCTGACATTTCCCGATTTTCCCTGACAGTGGCAACCCTGTTTTTTCGCTTCTCACTGGGCATCGGGGAAAAGGGGGCGCACAGCGCAAGGTGCCTCCGGAGGTGGACCACTTTAGGAGCCAGGGGGCTGAGGCGCACCCCCAGCGCCGATCAGACACCACGATGAGGGTGCATGGCCGGGGGGTGGGGGGGGGGGGGGGGGGGGGGGGGGGGGGGCTTTCGCCTCGTCCGAGTTTTCGAGATGATGATGCGAAGCAGCAGCGGCTCCGAGCTTAACGAAAACCACGTAACTGGGTGGGATTCTGGTTGGAAGTAGGCGCTTCTGCTGGAGGAGGGCAGAGCGGCTCCACCGTGGGGACGGTATTGATTTACCGCCGGATGCGGGGGGCGCGCGGGGGGCCGTTCTCTCGACTGTGCCAGTTCAGCATCCCTTCTCGACAGATCCGCACGGGTTTCAGCTCCTCAGCTCCTGGCTCGTCTGAATTTTCGGGTTCCCACCCTCCGTTCGCGCTTCATTCTCCTTTTTCATTTTTCATTTTCTCGCCGCGGGATTTCCAGATTTTCGGATCCGGTGGGATCACGTTGCGGTTGGCTGGCCCGGCTGTAGCCCCCTTGTCATGATCACGCGGAGGTGAGTGTCTTTTTAACCTCTTTTCTCCCACTGGTCTGGTGAGAGCATTAACCTTAAAAAATTACGCCTTGCTTGGCGCGTAACCACTCTCCTCAAACCGTGCTCTCACGTTTTTTTTCGTCTTCGAAATCTCATGAAAGCGTCATTTATTATCACCTTTAATGAAAGCATACAAAAAGGTCATGTAAAAGGTATGGTTAAGCTCAAATATGCGTAGAATGCACGCTCGTTTTGGATTCATATTCGTCGTCCTTGCCTCCTAGTACAGGTGTTTTGGTTTGTAAAGAATTAGGTAAATTTTGCATCGGGTAGAAAGACAGAGAAAAAATAACAAAAGAAGACGGTGGCGATGAATAGGCTCAAATGTTTGTACAACTCATGGCAATTCCTAAAAACTCTATGTAAATATAATGGAGTTTGGATCGACTGTACATGTTCAGGAATAGTTTAGGTCTACGCAGAATGTCATACTTCGAAATGTATGAAAGAAAAATAGAAATAAGAACAAAAATCAAAGACGGTGGATCAAGCAACGAGTACATCAACCTATGAAAAGCGGTGATGTTTCGGTAGACTCACTCGGTTATACTTAATTTATAACCAAAATGGCGGTTTATCCACAAAACTTTGTGTATGTAAGAAAAAAGCGTGATGAATTGTTAATATTTACAATTGCATTTTTCAAAAATTCCGTCATTATATGGTTCCATAAGCTCACTCTTCAACTCTAGAATTTTACCATAATTCTTATTTTTTTTTTCAAAAACATCGTCTCCACACTTGAGAAGGTGTGTCAAAGAATTAGAAAACGCTCTATAAAAAACCAAAACGTTCCTACTTCTAATTCCGGTTCGTCGATCTAGTTTGACTTAGAGGACCATTATTATAGCAGCAATGGTAGAAAAGCCAATTACGACTGTAATACGTAGCTCTACAAAAACATAGAAAAATAGCCTTACATTCTGCAAAAATAATATTTTTATGAAGCACAAGAAGTAAAATTTATCAGCATTTCCATGATTATCCAGGCTTAAAAGTATTTTCATTTACTCTCCGCCTTATTCATCGATTCAAAATCAGTCATACAACGTGCAACACGTGAAAACACACGTGAAATGGTTTGGTTTGTAGCCTAATCGACGAACCAAAGGAAAATCGCGGAGGAAGGCATGACATTCACTAAGGCAGCGCTGTGGATGAGACTAAAACCACAATGTTATTCGAAGGACTATATATTTGCGTCTAAATGTCACAATACTTTAACGTAATTACTATTTTGTTTGCACCATCTAAGATTCCAAAATCAAAAAATCATCGCTAATGCCTACACCAGGATGCTGCATCAGGATGTGGGTTTTAGGAAATTCGGCCTCCCATTTCTCCTAGTGGATGTGACTCATATTTACACTCATAAAGCACTGCCGTGGTAAGGCTAGAGAGTTGCCAAAAATCCGACGACACGGCCGGATTTACCTACTTGCCGCCCATGGGCCGCCTGTATTTTGCCGCCTCTTTCTTATTCGTATTGAAACATCAATAAAAACCATCAAGTGAACGTGCCAACGGGGGAGAGGTGCATAAGACGCGTTTACTCGTGTTGAACACATGTTTTGGGAATGCCCTGTCAACACTACCGGCAAAAGTTAAGTTTCGTAAACCTATCTCTGTGTGGCCAAGGCCTTTCATTCATAAGAAATGAACAAAAAAATTATGAAAGAACAAACATGAATGTGGTTTATGATTTTAATTCCCGCCGCCGCGCAGACCGTACCGCGTTTGGCGCAATGCGTGAAGTATTCACACAGTCTTGTAGGCGCCATGCGTTTCACGCTGACCGCACTGTGTTTGCCGCAATGCGTGAAGTATTCATGCATTCTTGTAGGTGCTATCCGTTTCACGCTGACCGCAATGACCGCACTGTGTTTGATGCAATGCGTGAGGTATTCGTGCAGTCTTGTAGGCGCTAATGTGTGTTACATGCCGATCGCCGCGCCGAGGGCTTCTCCTTTTCATCTCAAGTCCTCGTCATCATTGCTCTCT